TGCAGCACTCTGCATTTTTTTGAAATTATTACATTTTTGTATTAAAGATCCAAAGTTTGTCATGGGGGTGCCAAGGTTGTGGTGTATAGAATAGGCTAGAATGGACATTTTTGCAGACTTCTTTGGACTAAATGAACACCACATGGTTGCTAGCAATCATAGAAGTCTAGGCTCAGTGGTCCTTTCCAGTCCTACGTGCCTGATGAATTTATGCACACATTTATTTCTCAATCAGCAGCCATTACATAGAATATATCAGCATAGAAATAAATATTCCTTATATATTACAATTTAAAATTACTTATACTGCAGAATTGCAGTAGATCACTGTAACATTGGAAAGAATAAGGACATTTAAAGCATTAAGTAGGTAAGTACACTTACCAGGGAATTTCACAGCTTGGCAGTAGATGACAAGATCTGAAAGCTCTGGTGCTATCTGTCTACTTTCTTTCTTATTTTGTGGAAGATAAAATTCTTCATCCAATTCCATATCATAAACCTAAGTGACAATTCAAATGATGCATAATATGAAAATTACTGAAAATTAAAAGTATTTACCACACTTGATATATGTCCACAATTTTTTGTCATAGCGCATATATATTATCACATAATGGATCTAGGTGTTTATTAGGGCTGTGCAAAATGGCACTGTTCCATTTCGACTTGCATTTCAACGTTTCAGCGGAACAGTGGTTTGTATTTTGTTTCAATTCGAAACCGCTGTTCCGTTTCATTTGTACTGAAATATGTACTGAATATGCTGTTTTGACGTTTCGCCCATAGGCTATAATGGGGAAACTCAAAACAACCTATAACTTTGTCATTTCTGGCCTGATTTGGATGCAGCTTATGGGAACAGTAGCCCCTTCTGAGGGCATAAAGCCCACCAGTTATCAAGGAGATAGGTGCAGGGGCTCTGGATTCTGGGGCCCTGCACCTCTAGCTGCTGACAGGCAAAACTGGAACACACAGCTCAGTAACTTATGCAGTTGTTCCATTCCTCCCCCAGAGCACTGGGATTGGAAGGGACCTCAGGGAAGGATCACAGTCATTGGCCAGCTATACAGTCAATGATGAAAGCACCCCTTCCCCGCTCTGTCAATAATGAGAGCACTCCTTCCTTCCTCTTCCCCCACCCTCTCCTTACTTTAGTTTCTGTTTCCCTGCAGGCAAGCCCAGCTTAAGCTTTGCAACTCAAAACATTTTGAAAATTTTGAAACATTTCGACTTGCCTCGTTTTGTTTCGAGGCTGTTTCGAAGCTCTCTGTTTCATTTTGATTTTGCTGTTTCAAGCTCTAAACGAATCAAAACAGTGTCGACACGAAACTGCGGTGAAATTTCGCACAGCTCTAGTGTTTATCTAGTTCTCTGTGACTACATTTGTACTACAGCATAGGTTCTCAACCCATGGTATGCGTACCCCTGGGGGTACGTGAGACACAGGCAGAGAGTACGCGGGTGCGGAAAACCCCTGCAGCGGAGAGCCCCTCTGTGCCGCTGCTCCCCCTGCCACCGCCAGGTTCATGTCTGGCTGCTCGCCCCAACCCCCAAGCTGGCCAAAGACTGGTTTTAGGAGGGGGAGGGCGGGCACACAGATACCCGTGCACTCCCCACCAACAGGCAGGTAAGTTTTCTTTCTTTTTTATTCTGCCTGGGGTTTGGGAGGGGGCAGACCAAGACCCCCAGAGTGCAGGAGGGGCAGGGCACTGCCCCACTCCCTCTTGCATTGTGGGGACTGGCCCCATGACCTGGCCTGCCTGGGACCCAGTTCACTGCGGGCGGGAGGGCTGGCGGTGGCACCAGTCTCTTCCCAGTGCTTGGGGCAGGCTGTGGTGATGGGAGGGGGGATGCTGCCTGTCCCCCCAGCACCGCTGCTGCCGAATTCGGGGAAAAGCCCTGTCCTGCTGCCAGCCTAGCCTGTAGCCAGCCTGGGCTCTGGGGCAGCTGCAGCAGGCAGCAGGCAGGCTGCAAACAGCTACACCGGGCTCCGCAGCCTCGGCATCAGCTCCATGCCTGCGACTCCATGTGCACCTCAAAGCAGAGATCAGGTTTATCTCCGCTTTCTGCTCTGAGGTGTGTGTGCAGTTGCCGCGAGCACGGAGCTGATGCCGGGGCTGCGGAGCCCGGTATGGCTGGGGGCAGCCTGCTTACTGCAGCTGCCCCAGAGCCCAGCTGGCTACAAACAGCTGCACTCAGCTCCCGAGCCCCATCATGAGCTCCATGCTGGCAGCAACTGCAAGTGTACCTGAGAGCAGAGAGCAAGGACAAACTTGCTCTCTGCTTTGAGGAGCATGTGCAGTCGCTGGCATGGAGGTGATGCCGAGGCTGTGGAGTCCGGTGCAGCTGTTTGCAGCCTCCCTACTGCAGCTGCCCAGAGCCCAGGCTGGATACAGGCAGTGCCAGTGGTGGCACAGGGCTTTTATGGGCTGCGCTGCCTCAGGGCTCCCTTCCCCCGCATCTACTTGGAGCTGTGGGATGCAGGAGCAGCTCCTTTGCAGCCTCCTGGCCGCAGCCAGCCCAGGCTCTGGCTAGCTGCTGCCAGCCACAGAACCCGGGCTGCTTGCAGCAGGGCTTGCAGTCTCCCAACCACCTGCTGGGAATAGCTCGGGCTCCATGGCTAGCAGTGGAGTGCCAAGCAAAATGGCCTTACATGCCATGCTCATTAGCATAGCGTGAACATTCTCTTAATTTGCTTATTAGTGTTTCTGCTCCTTATTGTGTTATTAAGGCCTGAAATATTTGGAAGCTTTGCAGCGAAGGCTAATCAGTGCATTGGAAACCCTTCCCAGGCCAGTCTCCCCTGGGAAGTGCTCAGTGCCCTCACACATGAGTTATTTGCAACAGGACAAAGCCCTGGGAACAGACTGTGGGGAGTAGTTCTGTGCCAGGCCCCCAGGGATGGCTTTCACCACAACCTCGTAGGCCTATCTGGTCGCTGCCCTCTGCTCGGCTTTGTTTTGCTGGAAATGGATGTTCAATTTTTTTGCCATAGTTTTAAGAGGAGGAAGGGGTGAGAGAGATGGGGAAAGAGGGTGAGAGAGACAGACAGACAGACAGACAGACAAGGATATAGGGCGGGAGAGAGAGAGAGTGAGATGGGAGGGGGGAGGGTGAAGAGAGAGAGGGAAGCAGGGAGAGAGAGGGGACAGGTAGCAACCATAATTTTGGTGCAGGCAGGGGCTGCTGCAGCAGGGGCACGTATGCCCCAGGGGCTGCCGACCCCTGCCCTACCGACTTACTTCACTGCATCGTGGCCTCTGCTTCTCCCCATCACCCCAACCACCTGCCTGCTCCACAATTACGGTTGCTACCTGTCCCCCCTCTCTCCCCCTTCCCTCTCTCTCTTCACCCTCCCCACTTCCCTGTCTCGCTCTCTCTCTCTCTCTTTACCCTTGTCTGTCTCTCTCTGTTGCCCTCTTTTCCTCTCTCTCTCACCCCTTTCTCCTCTCAAAACTATGGCAAAAATATTGGTGCAGTGCACATTGTGCGGTCCTTTAAATTCCCCAACAATAATTTGGCGTGCCACGCTTTGCGTGACACTGGGTTCAGCCCTCCTAGCTTTGGCCAACATCACCTCTAGCCCAGGTACATTCTTGAGCACCCCTGGTGTAAAAGGTAGCATCCCTACCCACACCAGATCAGACACTTGTCATATCATGGCCTTATATATGCAGCCCTTCATCCAACATATGGCACACAGTAGTCTGTAAATATAAAATCCCCTGGAAAATTGAGTATTGGGGTACTTATTAAAATTTTCAGAAGTTAGGCGGTACTTGCTACTTAAAAGGTTGAGAAACACTACTACAGCATGCTCATATTGGTTATATGGCATCTTAAATACACAATCATGAGTAAGAGGATTGATATCCTATTTATCTTAGTAACTTCCCATAGATTTAATGTTCAACTGTGCCAGGCAACATAGCACATACCCATACAGGCTACACATTTTGGGTTTCATCTTGTACAATTCAGGTATGGGATGCTATATGTATAAATATGAGGTACAAGACATGACTGCAGCAAAATGTGAACCTGCATTAATGGCACTTCTGCTGTGCAATAGCCAAGCACCAGATTTTCAAAACTGGGTAAGTACTGAAATATGCAGAAAAGTATCTAACTCTGTTTAGACACCTAATCCCATTTATTTCAGTGGGAGTTAGGTGCCTAAACAACTTCAAATATCTCGGTCATAGTGGATCTCTCTCAAGGGAGACTTAGGTACCTCATTGATTTTGAAAAGCCCATTAGGAATCTCTTTACATCTTAGCCACCTAAATGACTTTAAAAAACTTGGCTCTTAATGATGTACACCTATTAACAGAAGTGAGGTCTGAGTGGAGAATGTGTAGCAACACAGCATATTTGCATCCTGAGGATGAGGCTGTAGCCCATGTGTCCCCAGATATATGAATTCTCCATGCACACCTACTTTAGCTGCTGTGGCTGACCACTAAGCACTATACAAGCAGTTGCAGAATGAAGGCCTTACATATATATCAAGAAATTGCCATTCAGGATCCTGAAGCAAGCCTGTCTCTCCAAAACTTTATTTTTAGCCACCTCTGGTACATGCTTATCAGCAAATTCAATCAGCATGAAGCAGCAGTGCATACATGCTACTTATAAAGATAAAAGATTTATTTCCTAAAGCTGGTTTCTCATTTATTAATTTGACAAAAAGTGAGAGTCCATTATTTCACCGTGCAGGTAAGTTGTGCCACACACACACGTGCAGAGTTGGGAGTTCAACAAGAAGGGCTGGTGCTCAAATTGACCTTGATGCAGTAATTTGGAGTGTGGGTTTTCCTTTATGAACAAGAGTGATTTATCTCAGTGCTGCCCAGCCTTACCACTCCCATGAGATGGGCAAGTGGTGCGGGCTGGTCAAAGTCAGCACATGAAGTCAGTCCATGGGTGCAATCCAGCATGCAGGTCCAAACCCATGAGCCCAGATCAGGCCATGCACTGGCCCAACCCCATATGCTGGCCCAATCCCATGTGCCTAGATCCTGCTGAGCACCAGCCTAATCCCGTGCACCCAGAACCAGCTGTGTGCTGGCCCGACCCCAAGTGTCTGCATCTGGTCACATGCTGGCTCAGTCTGGCCCACAGGGCTACATCATCTGGCCTGTGGGGTTCCCCATGGTTCCAAAAATTTGGCTGCAGAGAAGCAGCTATTAACACTATCACTGCTCCCCACTGCCAAATTTCCAGACCTTTGGGGAGCCCCATAAGTCAGATCACACAGTTTTATAGGTTGGATCTGGCTAATAGGAGTGGGGTTGAGTACCCTGATACATGCTAACTGTCCCTGGAGTTATGTGTAACCACTGAGGAGAAACTAGCCCCATCTGTTATAATTCTGATGCTTATCATTCAATGCTAGAGAGAGAGTGTCAAAACTGAAAAAGCTTAGAAATGTAGCACAACATCTGAAAGAAAATTCCATAGAAGGAAATTTTTAACTGAGCAAAAATAATAACAAAAGTACTTTTTATAAAAAAAAAAGAATATTTTGAAATATATTAAATATTTTGAATATATCTGAAAGAATAAGAAGGGTGGGAAACTAAGAAAATGCAGCCTCCAGGGCACAGTAAATGTGCAAAGAGATATCTACAGAGTTCAGCAAACTCTCACAATAAGAACACGCATAGAAATGGGCTGTGAAAAAAGGGGATGAATCAGCTGAAATAATGTGAAAAAATAAAAGCAATCTTAAACATGAAGTCCTTACAGTTTTGGCTGGTTTTTTTATTGCTACAAATAAGCCAAATTGAACGCTTTCTCTTAGTCCGTAGGGAGGGCCCCTGAAAAGCTGGGCCAGGAGCAGACTAAGAATCCATTGTGACTCTGAGTCACAACTTGCTTTTTGGCTCCCCTCTCACTCCATGGTGGCACAGCTCTGCTATCACCTGCAGTGAGGAGGTAGAACTAAATGGAGAACAGAATTGGGCCTTCATTACTTACACAATGTCCTTAATATCTTTTTTTAATTACCTGTTAGCAGTTTCAGCAATTATTTTCATGCTTTTTAATTCTTCAGTAGAGTTGCTGCTACTATCAGCTATCTTGCTATTAGTACAACTAACTATGGGTAGGTCTAAACTGCAGGCTGCACTGTAGAGATAGCCAAGCTAGCTGTAAAAGAGGTACACTCATGCCAGAAGCTGGCTTGATCCAATCACTATTAAAGTTAATGGAAAGATTCTCACTGATTTCATGTGGACACTGGGTTGCGGCCTCTAAAATGTGTTTGCTTATTTTTATTGCTGATGTCTGAGGGTATGATCTGTTTGTTACACCTAAAATAACTTTTGAACCCTTTTTTGCTAGATATTTGGTCCATTAACTTTGTTTTCTCCAGCCTGGTTCTTTTCTTTTAGCTGTTTGTGTATAAAAAGTACATTTGCAATCTGATGGCCCAGGCCATACACAGGCATTACATGTATAGTGCTAAATACACCCTTGTAGCATTGCAAAATATGAGTGAACAGCTATTCAGGCTGTTTGTAGTGCTACAAAGAGCGCAAAAGTACTACAAAATGTTACCTCTTTCAAAGAGGAACTTTTTGGTAGTGCTACATTTTGTAGTGCTATTAGTAATGCCCATACAGTTACATGTAGCACTGCAGGGGTCTGTAGACCCCCCAGTATCCCACAGTCCCCTACTCTCCCTCCATCCTTCCCTCCAAGGGGGAGCAGCTGGCTCTCTGACAGTCTGCCCAGAAGTGAGCTGGTAGTAGGAAGCGCCAGGACTCCTACAGCCAAGGCAGCAATTCCTCTTTCTGCTTCAAGAGTCCCAGGATGGCTGCAGCTCTGGGGCTGTGACAGAGCCACTGCTGATCAGTGGAGCTGACAGCGGCAGCCACATGCCCGGCTCTGCCAATCAACTGATTTGTGGAGCTGGGCAGTGGTGGCTCTGTCACTGCTGCAGTTGAAGCTTTGCTGGGTATAGTAGTTGTGCAACTGCCCAGCTTTGCAAATCACCTGATTAGTAGAGCATGCAGGCAGCTGGTTAGGGGGGAGAAGGGAAAGGAGCAAGGGTTAGCAAATTCCCACTGCCAGAACAGTTCTTACCCCTGCTACCTCCACAGGCACTGGTTTTGGCACTGTTTTTGGCAGCTGTTACTTTTCAGAAGCTGCCAGCTGATCACTGACAGCCTGCCCTCCTCCCTGGAGAGGAGAGGGAAGGGTGGCTTCCCTGTGGGCAAGGGGACCCAAGAAGCAGCCCCTTTTGCTCCTGACTGAAGAGCTTGCTTTTGAGGTGACTTTGTAGCTCTCCAGCAAGGGAGCTGGAACACCTTTACACCCCTAGCATGATATTTTTGTAGTGCTACAAAGTGCTGAGACACATATCCAGTCACCTAAACAACCCAAAACCTCTTGAATTTGGTCTGTGTTCTGGGGAAAGGAAAGGAAAAGAAAAGGAAAAAGCAGTATTACCTTTCCTTTATTGCTGTAAGTAATGAAATCAGTCTTCTTTATTCTCTTGGCAATTTCTTCATTATATTCAAACTGTAGCTTATCCCCAGTTGACTTACTTTCAGGTCGGTCTTCCAGAATGTTATCTGTAAATTAACAGCATTTAATTAATAATTGATGTTTAGATAACATTCAGGCAAAGAACTTTGGCTGAAAATTTTAGTTCAACTAACATGATATTGGATAAAGCTCCTAATGACACATCTGATTAATCTGATGACAAAAGAATATATTCACTGGTCAAAGCAGTTCTCCGTCAGTGATAATATTCTATTTTTAAAAATGTAGTTTTGTTCTTCTTAGCATGTGTCTCTTTCATGAAAGTTTCTTCCTTGTCTTTTTTGTTCAGTACAGGTTAACCACACAAAACCATTTCATAAACCATGAAATAAAACGGTTCTAGGTTTTCTTTTGGCAGAGCAAGAAGCCAAACTCTTGGCTAGCCATCTAAATTAAAAGGCAATATTCTTGAATTGTAGAAGTTCAAATTTAATTTAGTTACTACTCAACTATCTTAAAGTTAGCTTTACATTCTATATTTTGTTTTTCATTCCCCTGTCTGTTAGCATACACATGCACACACACATAACCCCTTTCTGATATAGCAGAAGCATTCACGTCCAAGCAGAAGAGTACCTCATGTTTTTGTAAGAAACTTAGCCTAATTGGTTTATTTGAGTAATGGAAAAGTAATGGAAAACTGTCCCAAAAGCAGGTATTTTAAATTCACTCTAGATCTACAGTATGTCATATGTGCCTTGGTAGCTTATTAGAATATATATGCTTTCTAATGCAGGTCCCTACCTTATGAAAATATTTTACCACATTTTATATTAATGAAAACAAGGAATCATGTAATAATACTATGCATTTGCAGTAAGTTGGAAATACAGTGTTAAATCCATGCAGTTAAAATGCTCAACCAAACGGCCTTTACCTTCCTGGCTGTTAGGAGCAGGGGAAGCATTAAGGACATCAGCTATAGGAAAAGAGTCAGAAAGGGAATAAGAATAAAGGAAATTAAGAAACACAGCGAAAGAAATGAAAATTAAGTGTCAGTTGTAAAATCAGAAGCATTATGTAAAACTACAATAATTGTTAAAAATAAAAAATCTCCCAAAGTTTTCAGACTATTATTTAGATTAGTTCTGCCAGAGATTATTTTAATTTAAAATAACAAAACCAAAAGGGTAACCATTATAATAAAGCAGTAAACCATGCACAGGTTACCTTGTCTAATGCACTGTGCAAATTTTTAGTTGCTGTTTCAAGTTTTTCAAAATTTCTCCTGACTAATGTTAAGTACTACTTAATGTAGAAAAGTTGTAAAATCTTCCTGGCCAGTAAATCAGAAGCATCTACATCAGACCAGCATATTTTTACATATGTCCCTTACAGATTCTTCCCCACAAGAAGAATCCTCAAGTAACAATTTAAGTTGGCTTTCTAGCTGCCTCGCTGGAGCAGGCACTAGAATCTCACCCATAATTAACTTACATGCAGCAGTGAACAGAGAAATAATTACTGAGTCTGCTTATTAAATTGATTTTTTTAGCATCTCTATGAGAGAAACAAAGAACTATTTAAATACAGGTTCTATTGTGCCAGCTGAACACAAGTACTTCACTGAAAAGAGAGCTGAACCTGGTAAACTTTCTGAACTTCACCAGTTGTATGAAGGCCAGGCATCACAGGACCTTAGTTTTAATAAATAAAATATTTCAATCTTTTGCTATATGTCTGGGTGGTATGAATTTTGCAGCCAGTTGTGATGTACCTTTATATGACACAGTTTCTGATAATGTCTGAAATCAGTAGCTAATGCCACTTCTGAACGTCTTGGGCTAGTACATCCCTAGTGTAACTTAACTGACCTTAGGGACATACTCAGTCCTCCTCTGACAAGTACCTTTGCAGAGGCCAGCAGCAGCAAGCGCTCAGTAAAATGACACTCTGCTCCTGCTCTGAAGACTGTCTGTAAAAACCAGCTTAATTGTTGGCTACCACAATTAACCCAATAATACAACAATCATTAGTTTGATTTCTGGATGCCAGCAATGTGAATGCCAAGAAAATGGCATGTTTAAGAGACATTTGGACATTTAGGCCTAGATTGTGACTATAAACCATCTGCCCTGGACAAAAGTCTCCAGGTTACTGCAGTATCCTGTGGTGGTGCCAGGTCTATGTTTCAACTTTTGACTGAGGCAAACTTAACTGATTTAAAGATATAATGGAACATATGGAAAACTGTTACAGTTGTATATTTAAAAAATTCACAAACATAATTACCATCTGAGAGAGATTCATAGTCATAGTCATATTCATCCTCTTCATCCTCCTCCTCTTCATTAGTTGTGGGGTTAACAACATTAGCACCATTACTAGCCTGTGCTTGCATGTATGCTAGTTGGTGTGCCTATAGCATCAAAGTAATTAAAAAAAGATCATAAATATTTCTAAAAATTAAACTTTCTCTTATTTGCATGTGTCTTATTTTTCTCATATGACAGATAATCTGGTTTTCTGCTTTCCCAGGAGGAAAAAACAGATTGTCATGAGCAAGATAAAATAGCATTCTAAAACTTGTTTACACAGAAAAATTATACCAGTAAAAAAGGTTTAATGTAATGTGTGAATTTAAACCACTATTGTTATACAGGTATAATTTCCCTTGTTGACACTCCTATTCTGGTGTAACAGTGCCTTTTCACAGTTTAGGATAAGTCATTTTCCACACTGGAAGTTGTAGTGGTATGGCTCTGCTGATATAGGGATAATTACAACTGCTGTAACTTTGTTTAGACAATCCCTAAAATTCCAAAGAAACTAAACTCCTCCTACATCTCAAAACGGCGTATTTACTGGAAATGATGTTTTACTGAATGGAACTGCTGTGTATCTTGCACACTGTCATATGGAGTAGAAGATAGATCTGCATGTATATTCTAGCAAAGGCATTGCTCACACCCACCTACCTAGCCACAGAATTTACATTAACCCAAAGTGATGAGAGAGGGAAGTGAATTCAATCCACAAATGAAATTTAGTGGAATTCCATTTTCCATTAAATAATCAATTTAACTCCATGTTGAATGATAATACCAAGCCTTTAGTAACAGAGTTATTATAGAGTCCATCGAAAAAAATGACAGGCTGAAGATTGGTTTAGTAAAATAAAAGAGACTATAATCCTGAGGAAGTTTGAGCTGTTGTTGCCTGTATCACATCTTATTTGTGGATACAGCTGGGACATAAACTCCATTTCTGGAAGAGCATTTCATTCATTGCATCTATTAAAAAAGATAGAGACCATTTCATGAAGGAAACAGATCTTTAAACTACTAAATGCAGCTTTTTAAATAGATATAGCTGCCTATATTGGAAATGTCATATAATAAAAATACGTTACAGTCTTCCACAGTCTAGCAAAATGAAAATATCTGTTTAGTAGGAAAATACCAGATCTGAATACAGTAAAAAAAATAGTTTAATAAATGAAAAAATGCACAAAACCCTAAAGGTCTCTCTCCATTTCTCAGTCAAAATGTATTGATGATGTCCTGGACTTGCAGTATACCCCATTTACTTTTATCAAAAATATAATGTTGTGTTATCTAGAATACTGAAAGTATCATGAAACCAAAATGCCATACTATTCTATGATGCTATACCTATATCTTTTCATTGCACCCATTTCCTTATTTGCAAACTCTGGCAATATACCATGAGTCTTCCAGTTGTTAATGGACATTAGATTGGTTCTGCTGTATACCTTAACGTGACAGTGCATTAGTGCTTTCCCCCCCTTAAATAGCCATGTATATATCAAAATGTGTTAAGAATTTTACCTTTTGCTTTAATATATCCACTGGAGTTTGATGGGCTTTGAGTTTTTTGTTTTTAAGTAGAACTTTTCTTCTCAGTTGGTCAGGTGATGGGAGCATAGGGTCATCAGAGAAGTCACTCTCAAATAAAAATTTAGTTACCAGCTTATCTCCAAATACATTCTGAAATATTGAGAATATGTGAGATATCATGAAAAAAAGTCCATTCTGTGTGCTTGGAATAATTTAGTTCAGTTTATGGCCTACCTTGAAAATTTCAGCCATTTTGCGTTGCTGAGGTAATGAACAGTGGTTTTCTATAGATATGATGATTGGCATGTCAGAGGTGATAAAGGCATTGCGATCAATAGCTTCAACTACTTCCTACAAGACCAAAAGATTTTAATAAGGACACATGGTTCAGTTCTTCTACAACATAAGTAGCTTGTAATTATGTCCATAAATAAATGATCATGAATAGCTGAAGAGGAATATACTTTCCCAGTCCAGCCTTCAGTTTCCACAATTTAAGCAGCAGGAGTCCCTAGCTTTCCACTCAGCCCTTAATGTCCTGTTATGACAAAACTAATACAGATACTTGTAGTTACAGGTAAAATAAAAATGTGGAATATTGTAGTATAAATGTTAAAAAATTAGGCACAGTTCTCAAATGTGGAAAACACAACATCCTTTTTATTTGATTATGACCAATCAAGGGAGTTTCGATTTCATATTCAACTATAGTATCAAGTGTAGTGTAAATTAGCAATCCATTAGTAACTTGTATTCTTCTGAAGGACAATTCTTGTTTAATCAAGCTAGTATCCTCATATAAAGGAAAAATATTAATTTTGTTCTTTCATTTTTGTTTTCTGGATAAAAATGATCAATCTACCTTAAAAGAGATCTTAGTTGTGAGTGTATGTCCATGATAAATGATAGGCATTCCATCATCACCATCCCAGCAGTCTAATTCCACACTCCTGCAGCCTTGTAAGAGAACCTGTAACAGAAATTAATAATTCATCCCAGGTGACCAGCAATGTTCAAAACTAAAAAGGGTTCTGCAGTATTAAACAGCAACTTGGTGGATGGGGAGAAGTTGCTTGAGCAGGTTGTCCATAAGGTCACCATCCTGGGGGGGCAGGGAATATTGGGAGGAGGACTGAAAGGAGACATCCGAAGCTCCTGTCCCAGCAGCTGCAATCAACAAATTTGGAGAGAAAGGGAAAATGAAGAACACATTGGGGGAAGAAAACAAAATGTTCCCAAGAGAAATAGAGAGAAACTTTTAAGTTTACAGTATTGCTGTGGGGGCCAAGGAAACTGGAAATTTGGTTGTATTAAGTGTTTTTTACAGGGACCTGTCAGAGCAAGTGTGTATACTACACAGCAATCTTATCTAGACCAGGGGATGGCCACTCCACTGAAGCTTTCTGGCCAAGACTTCTGTGGGATTTTGTTTGTTTGTTTTGAGAAAAGATGACCTGGCAACAGCAAAATAATACTTGTTGAAGATCATATGAGGATGTTTGGCCTGAGAAAGAAACAAGCTTCCTTGGGTACCCTAGCCTGACTTCCAGCCCATAATTTTTCACAAGACGCCTTACAAAATCACTTTTGAAGCAGGTTTTAGCCTGAACATTTTTTTCAGACTGTTCATTCTTGCTATTTCTATCATTATTTAAATAATCTATTAATGTAAGTGCTATTAGCTTTTTTATCATTGTAACCTTGTGTTCCAAATAGAGCTCTCTTGAATCAGTGTAACTTCTGGAAAAACCATAAATGATTAGGTGAAATACAATTCTCCTAAGTAAGTATATTTAAGCACACTGTATCATGGGTGGATGAAATCTTTATCCCACCTAGGAGTCTGGGGCACTGGGCTGAAACACAATCCAAATCTTCCCCAGGGAAAGAACACAGACCAGTGGATCTCAACCTTTAAGAGCAGTGGGCTGCGTGCCTGGGACCTAGCTGCACCATAGCCCATCTCTCCCCTCCAGTAGGAGAGGTGAGTAGGGAGGAAGGCAGAGGGAGATAGCTGCCAATGTCAGAGGGAGGAAAGGCAAGTGGGGAGAGAAAGAGGGAGAGAGCTTTGGAGGAGATCAGTGGTAAGCAATGGAACATGTCTGGCCAAGCTGCTTGCCAGCGATCCCCTATGCTGCATGCCAGGTCCAATCACTGGTTCTGGCCCACATGCAATAGGTTTAACACCACTGTTATACACTGTAGCAATTGCAAGTGTTAAAGATAATGGATACCTGCCTACACCCAACCCTACTTGTACACTGTTATGTGGGGCTGCCTCAGAAACCTCCTCCATAGGATCCAATATAATACAAATGTAGGGCTTCCTCATGCATAGTTTCACAGCCTCCAACCCTTTCCTCCAAACATATAGCACAGAAGAGGCACAGAGAACTCCGAACAAGCTTTTCACACGTGGATGAATTTATCCTTAATAAACTGAGTGATGAAAATTCTATTCACAGAAAGTTTGATGTTTTTGGGGTATTTGTTAAAAATAAAAAAATACAGACCCAAAACCCTCTAGAGAAAAATCCTTTTTTTCCTGTTCATCACCAGAGTCTTATAAACCGTAACATATTCCTAGAAGTAATATTATCAGAAAATCTAATATTATTAGAAATTTGTCTTTTCACTACAATGTACAGCATCTGAATAGTGTTTTTGACATTTAAATGAACTAAAACCTTAGATCCGTCTTTCCTGTGGGAAAGTCTAATTTTAGTAGGTTAGGTCAGACTGACTAGTGTCTAAAAGCTATGAATCTTAAACTAAACCCATTTTTTGTTTTAGAAAAAAGCATTTGAGCACAACTGTGCATACAAGCAGCTTTCCCACACATGTTTTCCAACATTTTATAAGCAGGGGTTTAGAACATTTCAGTTTTCAAAGCAAAAAGGTCATGTTTCTGTGACTTGCTAGTAAAATGAGTTCATGTTGAAAACTAAGCAACGATCTAATTCTGTATACCTGGCTATAAAGCTCTACTGAGGATTCTCCTTTAAGCTGATGGCCTGTGAGGTAAGTATTGTGTGAAGACTCAATGTAATAATATGACAGTGGAAATTGTAATTCTTCAACATTTTCTTGTGATTCATCATTTTTGGAGGCAAAGTTGTCTTTATCCATCAAAAATCTAGAAAAGAAAAAATGTTACTTTGTGGTGAGTATTTAGCACAAAAGACAAGTAAACAACATCACATGTATAGTAAGATATAATATGTTTAATACCTTGCAAATCCTTCAAATGAAAGCAGTCCCTGCTGGCACATATTGACACTGGGTTCAAACTTCTGTAAGAAGTAGTAACAGAATGATATTTATTTTAATCATGCTTTCTGACATTTTTACAATTTACCATTTGTACATCAAACCTATGGGTTGGTATCTGAAAGCTGCATTTATGTGCACGGATCTATTTAAAGCGCACTGAGGCGAAGGAAATATCACGAGCCACTTACAGCACCCAGCGCCATTTTTAAGGTCCTTCTGCAGCGAGCCTACCCCTACACTGATTGGCCAAGAGGGGTGCCTTTCATGTGGCCCTGGCCTCACCACCAATTGGTTGAGAAGGTTGCCCTTCATGTGGCCCTGCCCCTTATTGCTGATTGGCAGAGAGGGGCACATCTGCACAAAAGGCAGCCCTCTCAGCCAATCAGCAGTAGATGGACTAGCCACCATCTTGGTAGCTCCCCTTTGTGCAGGTGGCTTCTCCCCCCTATGGGCTGTGAGGCTGGGCTGCAGTTGCTAACGGTTCCTGCTGGGGAACCACCATTTTGTTTTTAGCAAGTTTTTTCCCCCTGGCAATTCTATAAAAATTGCAGAAGCTGCCATTTTTCGCAGTGTTTGCAGAAACCACTGTTTTTCGCGGTTTCTGCAAAAATCACAAAACTGTAATTTGAATAGGTCCCTATTTAAATGTTTTGATTACTCAGGTCTCTTCACCATACTGATAATTGATGGTGATTACTGATGTTGCACAAATTTTTAAAGTTTTTAAAATACAAAATTAGTAATGCAACAGAGCTTACAAATGCAGAATATGGACCTAAAATCAGGCACCCTTTTCTTGCCTCTTGTCCTTAAATAATACTGAATTCCTATTATGATAAAGGAAAATTACTATTTGCATTTACCAGTGTTCAGTGACAGCTTGACTTGTATCATCAAATTCTGAAGTGTCATTCTGAGACTCCTCTCTGCTTTCTGACTTTTGAACTCTGCTGTGAGTTTGTACTGTACACGCTGGGCGCATCAACATGAGATCCTTAATCTGCAGTAGCCTAATTCTACTGCACATTAGCTCATCATGGCAAAAACCATGCTAATGCACTAATGTGCAGTAGAATTAGTCTACTGCACATTAAGCATTACAAAAAGACCGTGCACCTTTGCTACTACACATTAGTGCCAGGTACCATGCATTTAAGTAGTACCTTGTGTTAGAGGTACTAAACTTAAGGCACAGTAGCAAAGGCACATTAATGCATGTGTAGACGCACCTGCTAGCATGTAAACTGTTCAAAATATTTTGATAGTTTTGTTAAATTCAATGGAGTATGATTTTGGATTACATTAGAGAAACATAAAGAGATTAAGAATTTACAATATGATACCCAGCCTTTTTTTTATAACACACAATGAACACAGTACTAAATTCACATCTCTTTGTCATATCTAATGGAAATAAAGAACATTAATGAAATAAAAGCATTTGCTCTCTTGGAAGAGAACTATTTGGGACCCTGTCCTTACCGAAGAGTAGGTGGGTCTACACAAGATGCTTAATGGTGAATTGGCATAGTTTATTGTGAAGTAAACATGTGGGTCTACTTGTGCACATGCTTACTTCATAGTAAATCTCCCTAATCCCAAGAAAATTTGCTAACTGCAAATTTACGTAGCAAATTTACTTGTCATTAGTAACTGTGCCATAGTACTTGTGTAGATGCCTGGCCAGGAACCAAATCTGCTCCGAGTCAGCTGTCCACAAGGGGGTGGGAGATAGCTCCCTGCCCCTGAGAGCTGCCTGCTGCTGGGGCGGGCTCTGCCACAGGAGCCTGGGCAAGGACTATGTCCCTCTGCCCCAGCAGCAGGGAACTACAAGCCGCTACTCCCAGATTGCAATCACGGAGCGAGGTCTGGGAGATCCTTATCTCCCAGCCCCCACTCCACCATCATGATCAGGGAGTGGGGGGCTGGGAGACCCTTATCTTTCAGCCTAAGCCCCAAGGTCAGCTGCAGAGCTTGTTCCCCACCCAGCTCTGCAAGCATGGAGCTGGGGATGAATAAGCTGGAGAGCTTGTTCCCCACACAGTTCCGTGAGCACAGAGCTGGATGGAGAACAAGGTCCCGTCTTCCCCGCTCCAGCTCTGTGCCCATGGAGCTGGCCAGGGAATAAGCTCCCCAGCCCATACTCTGCAATCACAATTGCAGTCATGGAACAGGGGCTGGGAGCTCCCTGCATGGGGACAGTTCCCCACCCAGCCTGGAGCTGGCTGGGCCCTGCCTCTGAACAGGACAGTTCCCAGCCAGCCCCAGGCTGTTTGGAGAAGCATGTACAGCCTGGAGGTGGCAGGGGACTGTCCTGTTTTGGGCAGTCCCCAGCAAATTCTGGGCTACATGTGCAGACTTCACCCGCACAGGCCAGGGCTGGCTGAGAACCATGAACAATGGATGCCCCCAGAGGCTGGGGGAGGTGAGGGTGGGCAAAGTGACTGCCCGCAAGTGGTGGTGGCAGTGGTGGGGGCGTGGCAGCGGTGAATGGGGAGCTCCTGCAGGCAGCAACAGTGGTGTCGGTGGCTGGGAGGGGAAGGGGTGGCAAGCAGCGATTGGTTGTCAGCGACCACCCACAGACCAGAGGTGGCCAGTAGTGATTGGGGACCGCCCGCAGATGCCACTAGCAGTGTCGGGGGGGGGGGGGGGGGGGCCTTGCAAGTGGCAACTGCCCACAGGAGCCATCAGCAGTGTCAGCAGCGCTCTTTGCAGGTAGTGCACTGCTAATCTCAGGGGGTACACGTGCACCCGCATGCACCCTCTACATGTCACCAATGCTGAGAACTGTCACAGTCAGGGTCAGGTCCCAGGCCCATGCCCTGATCAGGTAATTGGGTCAAAGGTCTTAGAAATAGCTGCAGGGGTGGGGCAGATTCACGATCTGCTGGTGGGGCAACTAGCACTGAGCTAGCTGCTAGCTGCTAACTGGCTGATTGAAGCAGAGGGCTGGGACCTGCCCCACCCATGCAGCTCTTTCCAAGCCCCATGTCCCTGATCAGGGAGCCAGGGCCAGGAGCTCCCTGCTGCCAGGGCAGGAGGACATTGTTCCCGCCCCAGTAGCAAGCAGCCCCCCGGGACCAGGAGACAGTTGTCTCCTGTCCCGATGCTCCTTGCCAGCCTCTGGGCTAGCAACCAGGGGGAGCCTGGAGCTCCCCCAAGTAGCCCCAGGGGCGTGCTGCAGGAACTGGGAGCAAATCTGCTCCCTAATCTGTGCATGTGTAGACACCTACCCAAAACCCCTTATTGTGCAGTATCTTACTGCACAGTAAATTTAGGTTGAAGTAAATGCATGTGTAGATGCACCCAGTTTTAAACAAACTGAAGTCTTCCAATGAGGCAGTTCGATATCTATGCAGGTGGTGATTTGGAGACAAAGAACAAACATCTGCAGAGGAAAACATAGAAGAAAGAAAATCCCTAATAAAATGATTAGACAAACTGCAAGATGTTTGTTTTACAGACCTGGATAATACTGAGGATTTCATCATAGGTGCAGTGTTCTCCTTGGCAGTTCACTAAGAAGTCATTAAGCTGCTGAATGCCTACTCCAAATATTCCTAACGATGTGCTTTCTACTCCTGTACCATTCGTTACAATACTAGCAGCAGCAATAGCATCAGATATTTGTCTCTGGTTATCTGAAAGTTGCTGTTTGCTCTTAATGAACAAACCAAGGTCCGAAACATTCCTGGTCAATAAATCTAAGAGATAAAATGGAAATATTCAATTAGTTGAATTTCAATGTTTAGAAATATTAAGTTAGACCTGAAATTATAAATAATTATTCTATTACTCAAAGGAGTAAAGTATTATTCACTCAGGGAGTAAGTCCTAATTCTCAGTAGCTATGGACCAAATCCTAGAATACTTATACACACACATACATATCCCTCACATGTAGTTCCTCTCATTTTTAAACTAATTTTTACATTTGAAATTTAGATGACAATTTAAAAAAAAAAAAGATAATGCAGTTCTTGTAAATCCCATGTGAAATCAGCATTAGAAAAGACCTTCAGGCTAGGTACAGAATTCATAGTTTCATAGTAGCTAGGGTCAGGAGGGACCTGAACAGATCATCTAGCCT